AAAAAACGAAATGACTTTCCGAACAACCCTATAAATTTATTTACCTAAAATTTTTCTTGTTTAATATTTTTAAAGAATAAATTATTTTACGTCCAATTAATAATTTACTTCTTTTATTAATATTTTTTTAATAAAAACCTGCCAAAAAGGGATGAAATGTTGTTTATTTATTGTCCAATTTCCGCCGACGTTTCGCCTTTTAGTCCAAGCGTTTATCACTAAGTAATCTATCTATTTGCACCAAAAGGCGAAACGTCTGTGGAGATTACGTAATAAATAAAGAATATTTCACCCCTTTCTGGTCTCCTTATCGAAAAAATACTAAAACAGAACAAAGGGTTAATTTTTTATGAATAAATTACTCGTGAATTCTCAGTAAAAGACAAAACAAATGTAGTATCCAATTAGCAATCGTTTAAATAATTGAATTAAAATAGTGTTTTGTAAGTTAGTTTCATATTAAACGCTTTAAAAAATCTTTAATAACTTACCACTTAATATTTTTCCGTAGAAAAGACTTTTAGATCACAAGAAGCACTTCTACAACACACGCGAAAACACCTTCGCGACTACGAAAACTGAAACTACCTTACAATTAATTTTCTGTAACACAATGTGTATTCAGGTTCATACTGAAGCTAATCTTGACCACTTGATGTCCTGTTGTTTGTTCAGTTGATACAATAACGGCTCGTCCTTATCTAATTCAAATAAATTTAACCTTCTTTGACATTAAAAACAAAGCAACAACACGCTAACAAAGATCCGTATCGCCATTTGTTTTAGCAGTATAAAGACAATTGAATAATATAAAACAAAAGTATTGTTTCGCGATGTCAGGACCGGACCTTTATTAAAACGCCCAATAAATTAACAAAAACCGTCAAATTCCGCCGTGGTAAATGGTGTTCGAACGTCAGTGAATGCTAACAAAATTGTTTTTTGAAATTATTAGTAACTTTTTACACTTTATACACTTACCTTAAACATCGAAGAAGCCTGAATAATCTTGAGAAATAATAAAAAGCAAAATACCTACGAGTTTTATTAAAAAAAAAGTTAAATTAGTATTTTATTAAAAGTATTACAGTTTTTTACGTATTTCAGGTAATATTTACAAAAATTATTAAAACATTGATTTAATTATCAACAACTTCGAACGCTTCCGTTAATCCTTCGTAAGGATGGATCCCACCAAATATGTATCTATAAAATCCTATGTGACGTATCCTGTAAGTTCCGAGCTCAGTCTTCGATCCCGTCTCCCATTCAATAATAGCTTCACTGTTTGGAGAAAGCTTTGAGCTTTTCATCCATATAAACCTAAACAGAAGAATAATATTTTCTTTTTATTATGCAGTAGATAAACAACTGCAATAAATTAAAAAACAAAAGGAAAACATAAAAAAACAAACAAAAGAAAGACGTAGATTAAACAAACGAAGTCTAAAAACAAAATAAAAAAGAGAGAATGGATGGTAGTAAAAAAAATACAAAAGGACAAGAAATCATCTTACTTTGTTTCCCAGTTGGAGTCTGTTGCCACCACATCCCAATTTTCTTTATTAAATTTTTCCACAGTTAAAAATGTCTTTCCGTGCATTAAATTATTTCGGGGATTTCCAGATATCTAAAATAATGTATAATTATTATGTTTTCCATGTACCTACTCAGGGACAATACTAACGAAAATAGCTTTTACCACTTCGCCCCTTTTGACCCGTTTATGGGGTTGCTGGATGCATTCGCCAAACCTGTTGGTAAACCCTGAACAATCAAAAATAACGGGTGGCACCAACGAAATAAGTTTATTAGAAAAATCAGGTGGATTAGGACCTGGGTCGATTTTCCTATCCTAAAATGTAACCTAACATTTAATAACATATTTATTTTATTGTTTTTAATATTACCAATAACAGCGAGTTCGTTAATTCTCTGTAAACTTTTAAGTAAATTGTTAATGTGTGCGGACCATAAATAGTTGAAGCTCCTTCGTACCTCTGCAGCTAAAAACAGAGATTGTTTGGTCACTTTTGTTTAAAGGAATTTACGCACCTACACCTAAGATGGCCGATAGAGGACATAAAACCTTTTGATTATTTCTGGTTATGAAAACGTTTCAAATGCATCATTAAATAGGAACGTTATTGATGTTCTTCATTAGATAGGAAACAAACGGAAATATAACTTATTTTAGCTAACTCAAATACATAAAGTTTATTCCATTTCATTGGTACGATAACGAAAACTGCTAGTTTGGCCTTTGCAGTTTAATTACTCCGTCGAAACTTTACCGCCACAATTCGAAACAAGTCAGCCGTGTGTTACAAACAAAAGAGCTTCTACTTTATTGGATAGAAACATTTGGCATTAACTCTATCTACGTGCCGTTTACCGAACAGTTATTAAACTATCATTACCGTTAACGGTTAATGGCGCCGATTTTATACCCAACCTCAGATAAATTAGCGCAGTAAACGCTTATTGTGTGTCGTTAATTATATGAACCTACGGTATTCCTGCAATCGCTTATTGATTGTACACAGTTTGTACCTAATCGTTTTGTACGTATATTTTTATTACGCTACAAAATAATACAAGCAACGATCGATTGAATCCTTAACGTCGTGTATGCACATCCTACAGCTGAGTGCTTTGCCGAGTCTCTGTCAACGAGAAGAAACGCGCGCATACGTACTGATACCCCCACTCTTTCTGTACCGCGCGTAGGTGTCGATACCCCCACTCCTTTATACCGCGCGTAGGTGCCGATACCCCCACTCCTTTTCTACTACCGCGCGAGAATCATAAAGCGCCCGATACCGCGCGAGAATTGCTCGCCCTGAACCGCGCGTTACTGTATTACATAATTGAGTGTATCTTGTGAACCGTTTGCGATATTTCGCTCGAAAAAGTGGCAAATTACTCAGAAAATAATCCTCTATAAGCTCGTATACATCAGACGAATAATTTCAGTTGTTTTTGGGCAAGAGGCAGAAATATGTAAAATACATTCTTACAAAAAAATGTATAGATATAGTTAACGCTGTAATAACAACAACAAAAATACCTCAATATTATTTATTTACTCACCTTATTCAATCAAAATGTAAACTACACGTTATAATTAATAACCATGTGTATGACTTACCTGATATTCTTCTGGGGTGGTAATGTAATCGCTGTAGACGTTACTGAGGCCAGCGATTATCACTTTCCTGACACTTCTTCCATTTTGCTGATAAGCTGCGGCGATAGCTTTTCGGAGGCGTCTTCCAGACATTGTGGTGAATTCGCCGGGAACTGCGCCAATGGCCACATCCCCTAACAATGCTACTTGAACCGATACAATTTTCGGTTGCCACTCGTAAGGAAAACTGATCTATACAATAACAGCCGATTAAAATGGTATTATCTTCGCTTTTTTTATTGTACCTTTCCGGTGTTCAACAAAATGGGTTTCGGATAATGACATTCCTTTTCGTCGGATGTGGGGGCGGCAATTAGGTCCCTTAAAGTATTCCACATCCTGTTTCCTGTCAGGGTGGCCTGTTTAAAATCGAATTCTCCAGGACCATCGGTCGTACCAGCAGCAAAACTGTATCCCATTGCTGGTAAACATCCTCGTACCTAACAGGCGATAAAAAAAATGACGATGGAAATTCGAAACGTTTTTGCTAATTTTGCTGGTTATAATAGTACCTTGATCGAAGACCCATTGCGGGCTATATAATGGGCTGTTTGTTTGGGCATGTCAACAAATTGATGGCCTACTCTGAGTGGACCAAGGACCTCCTGCTCGTTCCCATTTCCCCACAGTTCCTATGGAGAATCAAACGCATTCGTTTATGGGATGTTTTGCACTTATTATAATAATAGACGTTTAACCTTTGCCTTTTCGAAAAGCCTTGTTGCAATCAATCTGGTGCTTTCGAACATGTCACGACCGGGTCCTGAAGCGATGCAAATTTTCGCCTCGCCGTCACAAGTACTTGAAACATCGTTGCACGGAAGCCCAGAATTCAGACAGTGAGGACCCTTTATATTCGGCGAAACATCGCCAAGGTTGCTTGAAGCAAATGAAGCGACAAATGGACCCTAAATAGAGGAGTCCAAATGTACACAGTCTTTTCGTTCGAATTAAAAACAAAAATTATTAAACCTCGATAAGTCTATTATTTTAAAAAGCTGCTGGTCATTTTTTCTCAGGCCCTGAACTCAGCTTGATTTCAAATGGGAAATCCCATTAAGTTGAACTGTAGTTCATAACACCTTTCTTGAAGTTAGCTTCAAATATTGCAATGATGCCAACATAAACTAAATGGCGAAAGCGCGTAGGAGCCGCAAACAAAACACGTTTAATGTTTTCCAGTAATTGTTGCAATAATTGAGAGTCCCCCCTATGAAGTTGTTACGAATATTGCAATGTTACCAACTGTAACTGTTAGATTAGGTGTAAAATCAACCTAACCTAAACTTATCCTAACCTGATCTAGCGTTTCAAAAAGAAGGTTGGCAGCATTGTGAAAGTATGATACATTGCGGAGCTAATTTCAGAGAGGATGTCAGTGAACTCCATATCTACCAAAATTACCTATAGCTTGGATTTTTACAATATCGAAGTGCTTTAGTAATTAGTTTTTAACGTACAGTTATTAAAAGCTGTTTTAGTACTTACCTTTCCTGGAAGGCCTCCATTAGCATATTCCTCAAACAAAATGGATGCGTAACCGACATTATCAGACGATACCAGACGATTTGTGTTGTTCATCGAAGTAGGATGAACAGCGAACCAGTTTATTACCCCTAATGGTTCATTATTGTATGCTGATAAAAACTTTAGTTGCGTCATTTCTTTATCAACGTCGTATTTATACCTGGCAACCAAGAAAACTACCTGTAATATTACTAAACTTCAAACCTACACTAAAATTGAACACGTTTAAGATAAGTTTTACAGGTTATACGCAGTTTCTCAACAATACTCGAAGTAAAACAAATGAAAATCAGAAAAAAATGCCTATCTACTCCTTTGTTGCCTACTTATTGAATGAAAATACATTACACAACCGTCAAAATTGTTGTACATAGTTAGAAATAAGTTTAATATTTCATATAAAATAAAGACTTACTTATTACTTACTCATTCCTTTCTTCCTCGGGGTTGAACAAGTATGCGGCAGGACTACGATTTATGTTAACGTTTAATAGTTCTCCTGAATTCAAAAAAATTCTAGCCTCAACCATTGAATTATGAGCCCTAAGAATAGACTAAAAAAGGATTTCAATTTTTAATCGAACTACAGAGTATTGTTTTGATCCGTTTAGTGTCATTTGATAGATAAAAAATTGAACAGCGAAATAAGGCTTAGAATTGAGTCCAAAATTTTCAGTAAACGAAATACAAAGAAACAAACACCTTATTAGACCCAATTATTATTAATTATTTTTTTAACTTCTTTGCTTGTTTACAAAAAACGACTACCTAAGGCTGCTTTATTTTTAATTCTTTCAAGGAAAGTTCAAATAAAGTTAATCAAACTTATTTAAAGTACATACAATGATCTCGTATATGGTTTCAGATACATAGCAACCCTTTAAAATATTGCAAAAATTGTACATAAATAACTTTATTTTATTAGTCCAATTGCTTTAATTAAAGAACTTGATTTACCTGAGTTATTCCAGAAACTAAAGCTGTAAAAGTCTGTTTAACAAAGCCCAGGCTGGGTAAGTCAAACAAAAGGTGCATTAGGAACCCACCAGGTGCTGAATGGGTGTGGGTACCGCTTAAAATAAAATTCTGTTCGTTATACAGTGTGCCAAATTTTCTGTTTAATCTTTCTAGTACCTAGAAATTATAAGATAAAAATTACTTTATATTATACGTACAGGGTGTTCCACCTAAGACGGTTTCGTCCACAACTCTGTTATTATACATTAATTTAATAAAAAAAATTTCATAAAAGTGGTCTGGAATTATATGGTGTACTCATATACAAAAAATATTTTCAGTTCAATTTCTATTACTATGAGGTTTTAAATATAAAATAATCTACTTTTTCCTGGAAAACTGTTAAAGATAAATATTTAAAATGTAAAGATACACCAGGTGTTTCAATTAAAATAACGACGGTAGCGTCCAGAAGAAATGGAACACCCTGCATGACTAAAAATAGTTTTTGTATATGCACCATATGATTCCAGAACGCTTTTATAGAAACATTTTTTTTATTAAATGTATAATAACAGAGTTATTGACGAAACCACTTTAGGTAGAACACCCTGTATGTAACGTCGACTGCCAAAAACATCTTCAATGCCATCGCGGTATTATATTCCTGTTATTATATTACCGATTGTTGGCATTCCCTGTGGATAAATATAACTTCTTTTCCGTAGATATTTACCCAACAAAAATGCCATCAGATACATTTCATTTATTGGGAAATATTAATAATAAAGCAAAGAACAATTCTAACTTTTGTCATGTGTGAAAAAAATACCAATTCAATTCTTCGGGCAATTCAAAAAATACATGTACATGTGTGTACTTATCCGCTGCTTTTTTTGTAGAACGTGTTCCATTGCCTATCTCCGCATCGAAAACAATTTTATCAATTCTTTACAGAATCAGAGGTTTTTTATTCATATTCAATCGTATTCAATTTATATATGTACGTATTACAAAGAAAAAACTAACACAAGAGTAAAATGTAAGATACAAATAACCTATAATAGATATTAGATAAAAAAAAGTTTCCAGAAAGCAAAAACAGTAGAATAAATAGTTATATCGTTACCCTAGGGACATTTTTTGTCGTTATTAGAGAGCTTCTTACCATTGGCTTGAATGGTAAATTTGCCAGACTACTATAAGCTGATGTTATACTTCGTTTACATTTTGTAGCGATGTGACCTTCAGTTTGACCGGCGCAAAGTAGAAAAGAACAGCACTATGCCAGAAAAGGAAGGAGACAACTCTTGATCAAACTCTTAACCGGTGAGGAGCGTATAATACGTACAGTACTGCACGGAAAAATTGACCATTTTATCAACTACAACTGCATTGCTCAAATGTGCTGTTATTGGTACCATTTACTACTGAAAATATCAACGAGATATTTATTTATATTTGAAGACATATTAGAGGCTTCAAAGCTTGTTTTCGACTCACACTACTATTCATGATTGAACAAAACTTTCGGCAGGTACTGTATGAAAAAGTATGTTCAATGAACAAGAGTCGAGAGTGTAATGAGCTTTTTTCTCCCTACCTACGATTTTGCCAGCACGCATCCAAAACATTGGAAGGAGCACATCGCTAGAGAAAGTAAACGAAGTATACGTCAGAGTTGTTGTTATAACAGATGTTATTTTATGTATATGTATTTATTTTACATTAAAGATGATTTATTAGGGATCTTAGGTCTCACACAATTTCACTTACTTCTTTTCTCATGGCAGGGCCTATCATCCCAACATCCACACTAACGAAAAGCATACGATTTCCGTTATCTTCTATAACAAACGCCCTGGAGTATTGTCTCAAGTGCAGTCCCATTCCTTTTTGTTCCAATTTCGCATATCCCATCTAAGAAAATCATTTGTCATTTGCGATTTTATCAAATAACTACTAGCAATTTAATTTTATTAATGTTAATATTATTTATTTAAAATTATTTAGTTTCATCTAATTTTGAATCTGAACGTGACGCTTGACGAAATTGTTTTCTTTATGTAGGTATTAGAATAATGAAAATTCGCAGCAATTGGAGCAATGAAACAAAATTTTAACTTTAACCTTTAATTTTTTCAGCCAAATTACTAAATAGCAGTTACGCAAATTAATGGTAATGTATTTAATTGGGTAAAACACCGTTGGGCACAAGAACGTCGTCAATGTGCTTAATATTAGCAAGAACAACAACTTTTTATCATTAAACAACACTAAAATATGCATGTTGTAATCTCAAGATAAATTAGCGAAAGTTACATTGAACGTCTATTTTACTATATATATAT